CAGTCAAGTGTTCGCTGTGTTGCATTCTTGGCAGTCGTGTGTTCGCTGTGTTGTGTTCATTGCAGTCGCGTGTTCGCTGTGTTGCATTCTTGGCAGTCGCGTGTTCGCTGTGTTGTAATCATTGCATTCAAGTGTTTGCTGTGTTGTGTTCATTGCCGTCAAGTGTTCGCTGTGTTATATTCTTGGCAGTCGTGTGTTTGCTGTGTTGTCTTCTTGGCAGACGTGTGCTCGCTGCGTTGTGTTTGTGGCAGTCGTGTGTTCGCTGTGTTGTGCTTTATGTAGTCATGTGTTCGCTGTGTTGTGTACTTGGCAGTCATGTGTTCGCTGTGTTGTCTTCTTGGCAGTCGTGTGTTCGCTGTGCTGTGCTTTATGTAGTCATGTGTTCGCTGTGTTGTGTACTTGGCAGTCATGTGTTCGACGTTTTGTCTTTTTAGCAAACGTGTGCTCGCTGTGTTGTGCTTTATGTAGTCATGTGTTCGCTGTGTTGTGTTCGTGGCAGTCGTGTATTGGGTGTTTTGTATTCTTGGCAGACGTGTGTTCGCTGTGTTGTATTCTTGGCAGACGTGTATTCGCAGTGTTGTATTCTTGGCAGACGTGTATTCGCAGTGTTGTGCTTTTTGTAGTCATGTGTTTACACATAAGCCCCTTTTCACAAAGATTGGAATAAATGCAAATACAATACTTACTTATTGTACAGGTAGTACCACTCCAACCGGAAGCGCACATACAAAAAAATGAATCGGTATTTTTGAAACACTGACCATTATTCTGGCATGGCTGACTGGCACACGGGTCAAAAGTGGCTAGAATGCAAAAATAAAGATGGTATTATTTGTATTAGCTTGTAAAACATCGATATAGCACAGATTATCGTTATGAGCGATTGATTGGTAGTTATACTCACATACGTCGCACCTAGTTCCTGTCCAGCCAGTGGGACACGTACATACATAATATGAAACGGCATTGCTGTTGATAAAGTTGTTGCAAGTTCCTGAGTTGAGACAAGGCGAGCTGAGACAAGAATTCTGAACTGAAATATATTAGAAAAAAGTTGTAATTTGTGCGCTTCATTTCGATTATTTTTATGCATTTTTCTATTATAGCTTCGGGCCAAATAAACATGAACAAATACGGTTCTTGATCAAAATTGTGGAAAAATATTAATAAAAGTGTGGGTTTAATTTTGTGAACGGTGCCGCGTCTGGGTATCGTATGTTTGAATTATTGTTTGTCTTTGAGTAACAATTACGCAGTCTATGCAATTTTCGTTCAGTCACCACGTAATTACTTGATATTAACAAAATGATTGAATAACTACTACATTAATAGTATAAAATGTCACTTCACAAGACAGTGATAGATAGTACTTACTTGTTTCGCAGTTTGTCCCCACCCAGCTTCCTTCGCATATACATTGATACTCAGAAACACTAAGCTTGACACAAGCACCGCCATTGAGACATGGGTTTATAGTACAAGGATTCGCACCTGAAAAGCAGACGCGAAATGTGATAAAAATATGTATTTGTAATATTAATAAATAAAGAATAAAACTCGAGAAGCAGAATTGGTTCAAAAAACAAAACATCGGAAAGCAAATAAATAACCGATTTCTGCAGCAGCACTGCGTCTATGGTTGGATCCATATAAGTACAGCTCGAAAGAAAGTGAAAAGAAGCAACGATTCACCAAAGCGTGAAAAGACTTACTGACTTCGCAATTTGTACCACTATACCCATCTACACAGTTGCACATATAATAGGCGAATGATAGCTTTGTGCATGTTCCCGCATTTTGGCATGGGCTGCTATTACAAGGATTGATTTCTGTGGTGCAGTAAAAAGACGATATCAATTAATCGGTCATATTCTAAAGGGATACAAATCATGGTCTAAAACATATACTCTATTGTCACTATAAAATATTGATACAAATACATTGTCGTTATCCTTTTAAAAAAAACAGCGATCTAGAAACGAATTTATAAATTGGGGAAATACTCCATCCACGTATTTACGCTAGTATGGGATCAGATAACTCAAGTTGCACTATGCAAATCGAACAACCTACCTATGTTACACAACTCTCCACTGTATCCCATGTAACAGGAACACGAGTACTGCATGCTGCCTGTGCTCACACAATCTCCCTTATCGCAAGGATTGTTCACGATGCATATGTTCACTAAAATAAAACACAGTTAAAGAATTCATCCGCGTTAAATGTATAATTTT